AAACTGCTCTTACATATGCAAACCTCTACACATGGACAGCTTGCCCCAGTACTGATCTTCACAGGTGTTGAATTGCTTTGGTTTTAACATTTCCAAAATCCAAGATATATATTCTGGTGCATAAAAACAGTAAACTTTTATATGGCTTTCTTACTAGTTTATATTGCTCCCACGATTTAGGTTTCATGTATCTATCATGTTTCCCTGAAAATAAGACAGGGTCTCGTATTAATTTTTGCTCCAGAAACACATTAGGACTTATTTTCAGGGGATGTTTTATTTTCTTCATGTACAAGAATCTACATTTATTCAAATACAGTCATGTCATTTTCTTCGGGTTACTACATAATGGTGGAGGGCGGGGTTTCACTTCGCTGGGTCTTATTTTGGGGGTAGGGCTTATATTATGAGCATCCTGAAAAATCATACAAGGGCTTATTTTCAGGTTAGGTCTTATTTTGGGGGAAACAGGGTACATAATGTAGTCCTCTAATGATATTGCAATTACTTAGGAGTGCATGGTCTGTTCCACTACTTACACTTTATCTGAGTCCCGTTATAGGTTTGGCATCTTAATAGTATTCCAGATGATGCTGAGTCTAGTGATTTTATTAAATTCTGCTTCTGCCTAGAGAGAAATAGAAACATTGTACTGTTTAAAATGTTGAGAGAGCAAGTTGTCATGTAGAAGTGGATGACAGCTGCCAAACTGTTTCTGTTTGCCCACAGAATATAGCTTTCTTTTTTCTTTTTAAAGATTCATGTTAAATTCTGTACTATATATAACTATATGCTAGTTATTTATAGTACAGACTGGTTCTGGCATTGTGTCCATCCCTTTGCACACGTCTTCCAAATTTAACAAGTAAAATTATAGTGGTGACAGTGACAACGAACAAAAAAATGAATTTTCCACATATTTATCAGTTTATTGGGGTGTGTGCGTGTGTGTATGGGATTTTGTGTGTTTGTGTGTTTTTATATATATATAATGTTCTAGTGACAGAATATACTAAGCACAGTAAATTATTGTATTTCTGTATAAAATGGAAAATAATGTCCCTTTTTTGGCTAAATGTTGGCAGTTTTTGAATAAAATTTCTTCTCCTAAAACGAGGTTCTCCTGCGTTAACTGTATTGTGAAATTTGGTTTATTTACTGCATTTATTGTTGAATGATACCAGAACTCCCATTGTTTTTCAGACTTTATATATAAATGTAAATGCTAACAATAGTTACTCTGAGCAACTAATTCATAGCTTGCCTATTAGGCATGGTACTCTAGCCCCTTCTGCAGGTCTAGAAGACAATGTTCAACAAAGTGGGAATTGGTTTGAATGTATATCCCAGTATGGGTGAGAATTCTGCATTGCTTTACCTATATTACATACTATGGGCTTACATTGCATACCTCATTCCAGTCCCTTGAATGACAGCTGTCACCTAGAAAACTGATGAAGGTATAATACTGCAGGGCTCAGTTCTGAAGCCTTCATATGCTTTTGACTGATGGCATTCTACTGGAAATAATTGTTACTGTTTGGTCCAATCCATTTCCATTTAATGTGTCATTCAGAAATCCACCATATGATATTGTAGCACTGTCAAAGTAGGTGAAAAGAAAAATCAAAAGAATCAAATTGATAGCAAGGGATTTTTAAAATAGAGGAATACAATAATTTTGGCAGCAGTACCTTTACTTCCTATCTTATGTTCACATAATGGAATGAAAGCTACATTATTGATTGTTGCCTCAACAAAAGGACAAATCCCAACCGATTTTGCTTACTACTTGAAAGGTTTTAAGTTATGTGCCTTCAACTCAATTCTGACCTTTCTAGGTATACAGTGGGGAATCAGACTCCCAGTCTTTACCTAATTTACTGAACTATCCAGCCAGCTGAAAGGGTTTATAAACTACTAATGATCTTCTCAGTTACTATTTTACTGGGGGGGGGGCGCTCTCATCTATTCACCCAGAGGTTTGATCAGCCAGACTGCTGTGCCAAAACCACTGAAAATTTTATGAGAAATTTCTCTTAAATATTCCATTTAAGAGCTCTGCAATAAACTGCAAGTCTGGGTAAACTGTTGAAGTGTCTCTACTTGAAGATAAGTGTTTTTAGTCAGGATTGAACAATGAATCAAAAAAACCCAACTGGGCTGATAGGTAGTTTAATGATCCCATTTTACCAAAATTGCCAACCTTTTTTCCATTAGGCACATTTCGTTTTTGGCAAAACATGGCCCATTCATTTCCACTCCCCCCGTATTTCCCTATCCAGTCCTGCCACCTCCTCCTCTTTGTTCTTCACCACTGCCATCTTTAGAGAAAGTAGCCTGGCTTCTCTTCTGGGAGAAGAGCCTCCTCATAAGAGCTTAAAACTTAATCTTAAAATGAGCCAACAGTGTTAAAGCAGTTTCCTATATTCCTTCCAGTGTTCTGATGTTTCCTAGATGCTAACACTGAGAGCTATTTTACTGGAAGGAACTGCACCTTCTTGGTGGTTGCTTCTCAGCTATGGAATGAATTACCACCTGCAGTCTGCCTGGCCCCTTCACTGGTGATGAAATCACTGAAAACTCTATTGTTCTGGCAGGTTTTTCAAAATAATCTATATGTGGGGACGGCTGAATCTATTGGCCTCTATTCTGATGTAACTACCACCTACTTTTAAATGTCTTTATGCATTTTAAAATGTATAGTCTATTTTGTCTTTATTTTTAATTTTTTAAATTATGTGTAATGATCATTATTGTGATTTTTATGCTGAATTGTCTGTAAGTAAGAAACTGCAACATTACATAGTTCAGGCTACAGTTTTACTCTAACTGCAGAAGTCTCACTGAACACAGTGGGACTTACTTCTGAGTAAACATGGATAAAGTTATTTGGAATTCAGGGCTTCAATGAAGTGTCAGTGTACATGGTTCACAACTGTGAACAACCTTTGCTACTAGCTTTGCTAAAGTGGTCTTCTTGAAGGAATCTGCCAACTTATGCTTGCAGGTTTGCTCCTGAAGAATATTTATTTAAAATATTTTTACCCCACCTTTCTCCTAATAAGGACCCATGGTAGCTAGAGTTGAGGCATAAAGGTATACCCTTACTACTACCATGTTTCCCCTAAAATAAGACAGGGTTCCATATTAATTTTCATTCCAAAAAACATATCAGGGCTTATTTTCATGGGAATTTTTTTCATGTACATGTACATTTATTTTTTTAATGTACATTTACATTTATCATGTACATGTACATTTATACAGATACAGTCATTTTATCTTCTGATTGCTGCACAATGGTGGAAGGCGGGGATTCACTTAACTAGGGCTTAATTTGGGGGTAGGGCTTATATTACGAGCATCCTGAAAAATCATACTGGGGCTTATTTTCAGGTTAGGGCTTATTTTCGGGGAAATAGGGTAGGGCTGTTTGAGAATCTTGAAAATGCTTCTTATTGTTGTTCCATCTGTTTCTTGTGTTTGGCATAGCCTTTGTGAAAGTAGTATAGTTCTCTACTTTGAAGACACGTTTTGGACTACATTTATATCCCAACTTTCTTTATAAGTTAAGAGCAGCAGCATAAAGCCTGCATCTGGAAGAAAGACAGGATACAAATGTAGTCAATCTATTCATAGTTTCCCCCCCTCCTTACTCTCCTCATGATAACCATAAAATTATTGTGAAGATAATGGAAATCATAAAATGTCCCAAGAAGCTTCATGAGCTGGTTTGGTTCTGAGCATGAGTCTCCTCAGTCCTGATCCCAACTGTATACTTCAATTGCTACACCATCATTATGTGACGTCAAGCAGATCACTTCCAACGTACACTGAACTGAATAGGGTTTTTCAGGTACTGTATTTGAGATGTTTAAGAAGTTTACCATTGCCATTCCTCCAGTGAGTTCCATGACTGGTGATTTGAACCCATGTCTCCTGAATCCTTATATGGCAGTCTGTTCAGTACACCGGCGCTTGCACCACCATTACATTTGATAATTTAGTAGTATTCAGTCCAAATTATGGAGGAAGGGGGGCCAGTCTTATGATACAGACTGCCATCTTTTAGAACAAGAGGTAGGTGCATTTGTTGCCTAAATACTTGTTATTAAACTGCTTCTTCAGAAAACATGGTGCTGCCTTAAATTGTCAGATTACTGGTCCATCTGGTTTGGTATTACCTTAATATACCATCTGGCACTGGCAAAATTTTCAAAAGTAGAATTATTTCCCAGCCCTATTTCAAGATACCTGGGATGGCTCACAACACTTTCTGCATGGAAGCAAATCTTTTACCACTATATTGCCCTTTCCCATGCTTGATTTCATTGTATTAATTTCATTTCATTCCAGATATCTAGGATTCCTGCATTGAGCACCGATGGCCTTATAGTTCCCCTTCGATTCCATTATTCTATAGCAATAAAAACGGCGGGTCTACGTGTATATGTGTGTATAAAGTAACATCCACACCCGTCCCGGTATATGCTGAGGGATTGTGTTTACCCTTTTGGTTTACCCAGAGGTAAGGGATGCAATACCGGTCCTTGAGTGTTACTTCGAACAGAGAGGGCCCTTGGGAAAGCGAGCTCTGGAGCTAACCCTCTACGGAAATTAACAAAACCGCTTCCCCTTCAGAGCCTACTGGTAAGCTCTGCCGAGGTCTGGGAAGGCGGACAGAGCCGCTCCGGGCACGGGGGGGTACGTGACTCCTTCTTCTGGCGGCCCTGTTTGCTGACCTTCCTCTGC